GCTCCGCGTCAAAGTGACTCCGGGCGACCGACTCGTAACTGCATTTCGTCGTCGACGGCACGCTAAAACGGGGCGGAAAGCGCTCGGCAAAGTGCGCGAGTACCGCGGGCGGGCGCCTGTATTATTAACGGTAATGGCATTACCGCGCGGTTGGGCCGCGGCGCTCTGCGAGCAACCGCGACAAAGCGCCGGGCCGTTCGGATCGATGATCGCGGGGCGGCGTGGGGGCCCCCGGGCCAGGCGGGCGATCCCGTAACGATATTATCGCGTTAGCGTCGCGCCCGATATAATTTACCGGACCGACGGCGAAAGACCGAGTGCCGAAAAACGGACGCGGACGTACGAACCGCGGTGAAAAATACGAGACGGGCCGCGCCGGCGAAACGCCCGAGGCGTCTGAGCGAAGTTCGGCCGAGCGGACGCTACGCCGGCACGCGCTGTATCGCAGTCCAGCTGACGGGCACGGATCGAGTTCGGTTTCACGGTGAAAACCGATAGAAGACGATACTCCGGAGGACGAGACGTTTATCATAAAACTCCGTTTATTTTTTTTAAATTTTTTTTTTTTTTTTTTTTTTTTTTAGAAATGTTACAGTCGTTTGAGAACGATGGATTCGTTTTTAATTCTAAACGGAGTATTGAACGTTACGTCCCCGGAATACTAATTAGAAAACAGGGAAAACGTGTCGTCTCGCCCTCCGGAATATTGTCCACTTTTCATTTCATAGCAGACGCTTTTACTCTGAAACGGAAACCAAGCGAGTTGGGCGCAGTCTGCGTAAGGTACTGAGACGTCGGACTGAGACACAGCACATACCGGCACAGCGTCGCGTTTTTTTAGACGCCGCGATTTTCGAGATTTCCGAATAGCTCGTGTCACTACGGACTTTGTCCTTTTGTGCGAATAAAATTGCCAATATAGGACCATAAGGAAACCGTGTCCGAATAAGGACAACGCGCTACGAGTATTCGACGACGGCGGCGTCCACCGCCACCTAGGCCCCGACCGAGGCGACGGATAATACGAGTCGGTATAATAAAGCGAAATCGGCGCAGAGCCGCGGAGAGTATCCGCGAGACACCACCGGCCCGCGAGAGTGAGGAGTTCCGTCACCTCGACACCTGTTCGGTCGTTTTTTAATTGTTATTACGACTGGTAATAAAAACTGGTTCTACAGGATAAAAAAGATTTAAAGATTAAAAATAAGATTTTCATTGGAAACCGCATTTATTTATATTGTGTTATTATTTTAATATTTTAATATTTTTTAGACAACCGTTGTTATCATAAAAACACATATCGTTGAAAAATCAACACCATTGACCGAGATCCGCTCAGAAACGTTTTTCGTTAGTAAAGATTAAGCGTTAGGCATTAATTAAATTCCCCTCTATATTATACCTTCCAAAATTCTCACCTAAAACAGTAGCCCATCCGTGGTGCGAAATATGTCCGTCCATTTTTTTTTTTTTCTAGCACTAAGTACAAAGTATAATTAACCTCGTGTTAAATTCGAAGTATTTTCTATACGACTAAAACAATTTGGTTCAAATAAAAACTAATAAAACTGTCAAATGCTTAAAAAAAAACTCATAACGCGTCAGAATATTTTCAAAATTTTACCACGACTAGAATGTGTTAATTAAAGTATTCATTGGAAACGTCCAGGTCTCTACGATCATTTTAAATATGAATTATAAATTTATAGCAAAAGAATAAAATTGAAAATTATTTATTATTCATAATAAATTATGAAAAATTATAATTTTATTTGAACCACAATAAAAAAAAAAAAAAACACCCCCACGAAGTTGATGTTTTGAGCAAAATTACTAGTAGAGAAGTTGTTAAGAAATGACAAAAAAAACACACCGTAGTAAAGCGATCAATTCCCGACTGCGCGCAGAACCTAAAAAATAAATGCATAATGTATTATATTGCTATACGTGTAGGTATATGATATTATAGCCGGACAGGTAATAATGACCTAATCGGAAACGGGCGTGGAAATGAGTCCGGGTTAAAACATCCGCGCAGTATACCAAAACGGTCGGGCGGAAATAATATGGCCAAACAGTACGTATCCGGGGAATGCGGAGTTGGCGTATTATCACCGAAATCGTCGTCGTTCAATGTCGGACGGTTCCTGTATTGACGACGGCTGCGCAGAGTCCTCGACCCCGGCGCGGAACGCGATTGATATAAAAAATTTAAAACTCTCCATAAAATATTCAACGTCTATCCGTACTATATGCCATCGATTGCGCAACGCCACAATACTTGCCTATTGTGTGTCGACGTGTACAATTTCAGTTACGTTTTTAGTTATTACGAATGGGTTTGGACAATTTTCGTCTAAGCGCGCCGTTGTGTCGTGAAATTCGTAGATTATCGTGATACATCGTGGGCGGCCGACCCATAGATCGCGGACGATTACAACGTCCGACATCCCTTTCGGTTTTCGGTTTATCAAGTAAAACAGTCCAACAGTTTTTACGCTGCCAATTGTGTTTCCGGTATATTTGATTTATAATGTTGTTATCGTATTATCATACGAGACTCTTAATAAAAAATTTGACGAAAAACATTACTTAACTCTTCATTTTAGATTCTGAATGAAGCGAATGATCTATTGGTGTGTATTATTTTTTTTCTGTCCGCAAACAACTTTTTTCCTAATCATCTTGCTAATAGAGTAATTTTTTTTTTTTTTTTTTATCGTATTTTGACTCTATAGTTGATAAGTATTTTTAAAAGGTATATGTTTTGTAATTATCATTAATATTTTAAATAATGAGGAAAACCTAATTAATTAGCTTGAAAAAGATTAAAAGCTTAAAAATAAGGTTGTCATTGGCGACCTGTTATTATATTTTTTTTTTTTATTATTTTAATTTTTCAATAATCTTTTTGCGAACAGTCGTCGTCGTCATGAAAACGCGCATTTATTGAAAAAACAATACTATCGACCGAGCTCCGCCGGTTAGATTAGGTTAGATCTGAATAAATTATTATAAAACCGAATTTAATTGGGGAGTTTTCAATCAAATACTCATAATATTATACATACCCAGGGGCGGCTCCAGAGACTTGGTTGGGACGGAGCAAGTCATATTTGTTAGAAAGCTGTATTAAAAACTGTATTAAGCTGTATATTCAATAAGTTTTTTATATTTCGTAGTAGAGGGGGGGGGGATCGACAATCGACCGACAACTAAAATACCGACAGAAAAATTAACTGACAGTAATTTATAACGCTATAGAATTTATATTTTTATTTTAGAAATCGATTACATGATTAATCTTTGCTAACGGAAAACGATTCTGAGCGGAGTTCGATTATACGTGTTTAAACCTATGTAAAATTAAAATTTTCGTCGAAATTAAATTTTTAGTAGTACTTTAGTTTTATTTATAATTATTTTTTACTGAATAATTATACATTTTAAATAAAAATATAAACTGCATGCCATTATGAATTACTACTTTATGTATAATTCTGTTGGAAAATATAAACCTTATGTATGCCTTTTATAGACGTGTTCAAATTTTCAAAATATTTGAGTCATTTTTGATCTATTTATAGACATTTTAATTTTGCGAGTTTTTAATATCCATTTTTGACGAAAATTATAATTAACTATCACTACCTTTTAAACATGTATAACCGGACTCCACTCAGAATCGTTTTACGTTAACATATATTTATCGTTGCGTAATCGATTTTTAAAATAAAATTAAAAACTGCATGGCAACATAAATTATTGCCAGTCAAATTGTCCTGTCGATATTTTAGCTATCGGTCGATTAACTCTGACCCCTTCGTAGTATATAGATTGTAGGTAGAAAACTCTAACTACATACTTGTACGTGTCTACAATAGTCGATAATATATAATTTATTTATTTATTATTTTTTTTTTTTGTAGAGTTGTTTTTAACAACTTGGGGGAGTTGCGTTCCCTAAGCCCCTTCTGAAGACGCTCCTGTACATACCAGAAGTTTATCTATGGAGGGAGGGGGGGAGATAGGTAGAACAATTTCATTATTGATTTATTTTTATGCATACACATAAATAATAGATAATATTAGGTATATACGTATTACACGGTTTTTTTAAAAACTTAGTAATGAATAGATTATTGATAATACGACATATATATATATATGCAAATTATTATAACGTATATTATAAAAAGTTTTCACTAAAAAATTGATTTGCATAATCATCCCTTTTACGCTCTAACTTCAAAACAAAACTCCTAAATACGCTTCCAATACCTATATTACAGTTTAGTATTTACATATTACTGTTATATAATTATGCTTGCGGTGCGAATTGTTTCCACGAGTAAATATAACAATCTAAAAGGGATAAATTAGCTCTGATAAACCTAATTATACCTAACGTAAAATTATCTGCCTGTATTGCAGCATTATAATTTTATTGGGTCGGATTCGAGTGATACAATCGTATAATTTGTTATAACAATAACTTGTTTCGTTGCAATATTCCGAAATAGATCAATACGTATAACAGGTGGTGTGCGCGGGGGGGGGGAAGAGAGGGAGTTTAGGAGTTACATATCTCTAATGTTGGCTTAAAGGGTACTAAAAAACACGAGTACCTAATCTAATATGAAAATGCATGTATTTCGGCCAAGTTACGCGGAAAGCTTAATGTATTGATTATAAATTGGCTTTTTTCAGAAACCGGCTTTGAATGAATTACCCTATTCCCATAGCCGAGTTGTATAGAGAAGACGGTTTTATTTACGATACATTTATTTGCTACATCTAGCTGTTCCTGGACACGCCACTGCGTATATACTGCAATATGGCGTTTAACAGAATCTATAATACAGTCTACAGATCGAAAATCGAAATACGTATCAATAAAATTGCGTAGGTGCCTGTAATTCGAATACTTATGTTTTCTTATATTCAGACAAATCGGTAAACCGTATGGGTCTTTAACGCTATAAAGTTAAATCGTGACAATTTTTAAGTATTTTTCAGTTAAAAACTACCGTTTAATACACGCAATTCAAATAAATAGTAGACGCATACAAAAATTACATATTCAATAAACCGTGCAAATATTGCTAATAATAATAACAAGTTGCTATAGAGGAATTTGAGAAATTGATAATATACAGCTTACCGTGATCATTAATTACTTTGCTCGAAACGTGTAAGGGGCGGATAATTCGTATGAAATAAACGAAACGCACTTGCGTATTATAATGTAATATATTGTGTAACACTTAATGTAATCAATGATTGATTAGATAATAATATTGTCGTTTCACACGCAGTAACGTGGCCGGTGACGGCGTAATGTAACCTGGTGTAGAAATCGCAACGCAGCTACTTTTTTATTGTTTACTTTACCTATTAAATTTGGTAAGTCTCTACACCGCCGAACGAAATTAAAAACCCGACGGCGCTACGACGTCAAATGGACAGTGCTCGCTTATCGAACCGACTACGTAATAATTCGAACAGCGAAACTCCGGTGGAATATGTTGATGTTAAAGAAAAACTAACAAGTTACCACTTTATTATAATACATACATGGCCGTGAGAAATTCTAGCGGTCTCGTACATAATAATATACAATAACAAGCACTAGCGGCGACGCTCTCGGGGGTGATAAATCACCCTCCGAAGACGTCTAAAACCCGAACATTGTTTTTTTTTTTTCTTTCTTTTTTGCAATAACTCGCTCCCGCCAACACAATGCAAAACATCAAGTGCGAAACGTGCCGCATTATTCATATTTGCTATTGAGTTTATTGTGTGTCGTTAAATGTTCATCAAATTTTATGTTTTAGTAATAACTTCGGTAAGTATACAGTATTTAGTAATAAGTCATATTAATTATGGTTTTCATATTTTTAGCGGAGCGAGGAATGTATTGGTTTTACAATAATATTTTTATTTATTTTTTTTCTGTGACCAACTTTTCTACCAGAAATTTCCTCCGATTTTCAAGTGTAGCGCATTTTCTAAAAAGAAATTTTATCTGAGCGGTGCTTTTTTGATTTTCATAACAATTCCATAATAAGTTTTCGTAATAATTGTGAACAAATATAGGAAAAACAGGAAAATTTACGAAATTAATTTTTTTTCAAATCGTAAATGTTATACGATCAACATGTATAACGGAACTCCGCTCAAAATCGTTTTTCATTAGCAATGATTAATCGTTTCATACAGACATACGCACATTCAATTTCCCATCTACATTTCCAACTTCTCATTTACAAGTTACAACGTTGAAATCCTTTTGGCTTGATGCCCCCGAATATTCGGGAGGCTTACAACTACGTACCGTGTATTAACCCTCGCGGCTAGTCACGATACGTAGAGATTCAAGGCGATATACCTACCCCGGATGTATATCAATACATCAAAGTCCCCGCTCCCGCTTCCTAATTCGCCGCACCGTCTGCCTACGGTTTGGCTGCCATCGGGTAGGTGGCCACTAGCTTATTAACCACTGCCCACCGAAAATCATAGGCCCGTCCGAATCCAACCGTGAGACACCGGCCACGGTACGAGACCGCGACCGACATCCGGGTCTCCGACCGGCGCCGAGCGTAGGGTCGACACCGGGGCTATTTTTCGTAAATGCCGAAAGCTAAGCATAATTCGACACCCGGCCACTGACGAAGGGGATGGCAGCCCGGGTGTCCACCGACATGCGTTTGTTAACACAATCTCCGTGGCCAGAGGTGGGTGGGCCGCCCGAGAACATCCGACTCTGCCGACCGACGGCCGGAACGCTAAAAGACCCCCCGAATAACCACGCGGAGAGAAAATCCCGTAGTCTCGATCCTTCGTCGGATACAACCTCGGTGGGGAAGTACCGGCACTCGCCCGTCAAACGAGAATTTGCACTTGTTGGCTTCACGACGCGGAGAAGTCCGCGCCGGTATTAATGTCCAGCGTTACGGAGAGGCCTGTACTGTCTAGAAAGCCCGAGGAGGAAATCAGTACCCCCGGGTTCTCTGGGAAACCGCCGAGAACCGACCGAGAAATTAATCCCGGACGGTTCCTTCGCTGCGGTTTCGCTAGATTACAAATAACAACAGTGGCCCGTCCACCGTGCGAAGTATGTCCGTTTGTTTTTTTCTTGACATTTGTAATTAATATTAATACCCCCCCCCCTCCCCCAAAGATCCTATTTACGCCACCGTGCACCAGTTTTGTGAACCGGACCGACGATATTTTTAAAATAATGTTTTCAGATAAAATTACACGTACGTTACACACTTCCCCTCCTTCTTTTTTTTTGAGTTTTCCAATATTACCAATGAAACCAATGAACCGACCAATGAACGAATAGTACGTGGAAATATTGTCATTTTTATGGGTTTTATTTTTTTTATCAAAAGCTCGGTTATTGAACGAACTAAACGATGGTACCATAAAAAAAAAATATATGAATTTTTTACTTTTTTTTTAAATCCGGGGACTGAAGAAACGTTTGCTTACATAGTTTTCGCAGTATTCGGTTATAACGGACGTATAGGAAGTCCAAACAAGTTGTGAAAAATATCGAACATATATAAACGAATTACAAACTAAAATAATGGTAGAGCACAGTGTAAAGAATATTAAAATTCTATTTCTATTTCTATCACTTAGATTAATAACTTTTAAGTATAATTTTAAGATTTTAAACCTCATTGTTATTCACGATATTTAATGGTATTTAGAGTATCTAACGGAGATCACTCAACATTTCGTTTTGTTCGTTATTATTTTAATTTTTTTTTTTTTTTTAACAATAATTCTTCTATTTGATAATTTGTATGTTTTTGAAAAAACTAAAAATTAAAATATTATAGTAATGGCAATGAAAATTTTAACTATCGTAAACCTCAAAAAAATATCATATTAATGTCATACAATTTTGGCGTACCCATCACTAGCAAAAATATTAAGAAAAGCCAACATTTTGTTTTAAAATAAATGTTTACAGTGGCGATTGTGAATTTCATAAGAGATTTTTTTTTTGATTTTCGGTATTTAAAAATAAAAAAATATAAGAATCACATAGCGAAGTTCTAGTTATTATTGAAAAAAAAATAACTTAAAAATATTAAACAGAAACAAAAAATGATTGCATTTGCCGGCGGATCCCCGTGGGATATCCTATAGCTGTATTATAATAAAACGTACTAAATATAATATTTTTATTCAAGTGTCTTATGATGGTTTTTTTTTTCGTTTGTTACGCGATTAACAAAAAACAATTAAAAGCCGGAATAAATAAATATTATTAATGTATACGGGTATAATTAATTTTAAATCAAAAACCAATTTTAAAAAACTACGTTGAATACTGCGCGCGTATAAATATTATTGTATTTTTTTTTTCTACTCGGGATAAATCTAACTATGTATGTATACTACGAGTATCATAAATATATTTTTTTTACAAAACGATAATAATAATAATAATAATAATAAAAATCATATGGGTACACATACCTACACTGTATACAGAGTGTTTCGTTTATTACACCTACAATTACACTCGTATTCTTATAAGTATATTATTTCCTGTTAATTTTTGCGTTTTAAAACCAACGAATTTTGTTATCTCAGTGTTTTGGTTCTTTTCTATTACAACGACCCGACCGATAATAATAGTGATAATAAAAATAAAACAATTATTGACTATATTGTAACTTACAAGACTAAAACTGTGCAGTTTACTCACCTACATTTTCACGTGTTCTCCCGTAAATAATCTCAGTGGGTAAGATTTACAATTGACCGGTTTCTTCGGACGTGTCATTATTCCAATCGGATTCCGCCGGCAATGTGTCAAACTAAAAATATTAGTAAATTCTATAGCCGGTACCCATAGTGTGAAATGTTTAATTTAAAATGAAAATTTCATTAAATTAAAAACGGATTTACAGTCCACCTAAACGCATTATAAAATCTAGGTTGAATTCCTGTTTTTTTTTTTTTTTTCTTGACGTAGAAATTCATTGAATTATAAAAGTTAAATTCTTAATGAGTATCAGTTAATAAATTTAAGCTAAAATATTATCTGACATTTAATACTCGTACGGAATTCCGTAAAGAATTAATTTGTTATAAAACAAAAACCAATTTGTTTATGATTTAATTAAAACTAATTAATTTGAGATCTCGCGTTAATGGTACAAACTAATTAATTGCGCGTAGGCGATATTATAATACAATGTAGACGAGCGGTATTCTATATTATATGCGGTTATTAAATCTAAACCGATACCTCGGCCCGTCGTATTAAAGGAGTTGATTATGACTCGAAAGCTAGACAAACGTGCGAGGCTCGAAACTGACTGATTTTAATTTTGAAAACAGAATTGATTCTGCGTTCTATAGTTCTCTGGGTTGAAGCGATTTTACAAACAATATAAATTTATGTTTAAACGCTCCTTCCTACCTCGCGTATAGCAATTCCGGTGTATTTTTTTTTTTTTAACAAAACGAAAACTTTAAATTGACGCGCGGACTTGATTTTTATTTCCATAACGCCATAGTTAGAGCTTGAATATGACCTGCAACCGCTGCTATTTTTCTAACTTATTTTGTTGTGGTTTTGATTGCGTAACAATACAAAATCGAAGCGCGAATTTCGTTATTGTTGTCATATTCGTGCGTATTATCGTGTAGGTATTATACGCGATTATGCGTATTACGCTGTTATTGTTTTTAGGGAAATTATAATTTTTCCGCGACGGTGATTTAATTTTAAATCGGCTTTACGGAAGGGATAAACGCGGATACTTTCACTGACGTCAAACAACCAATTTAAAACGGTGACATTTTCTCTTCGACCGCCACAAATATCTACAGAGAATGTCTAATTCGATAATAAAATTATCATTATTATTATTATTATTATTATTGTTTTGTCTACAATAAACGGAATAAAATATGTAACTTCGGTGTTTTTTTTTTTTTTCGAATTATACAATATGATTCGTACCAACCGCACTTGACCGACCCCGTGAAACCGAGCGCATATAACACGAACGGACAAACCTGTACGTTTAAAAATTACCACGACGACAAAATATCGGGGCGGCGCCTGATTAATAACGTACGAAACGTATTGTATTCATAGAAACGTAAAAAAAAAAAAAAAAAATTAAAGTACTCGTACAAATTGATGCGTTGCCGTGTATACATTTCAGTTTTCGGAAAACAGACGAACGTTAGCTGCTTTATTATTCGGACGATCCGATTATTATTATTGTTTTGTCTACAATAAACGGAATAAAATATGTAACTTCGGTTTTTTTTTTTTTTTTTTTTTCCCCTATACGCCCGTTTATATACGTACATTACGGTTTATATTATAACCTATATATATATATTCATATACGCGCGTTTTTTTCCTCTCTCTCTGTCGTGTCGACAGACAAAACCAGCGCGCCCGTTGTTCGGTAAACGCCGCTAAACGGGCGGCTGCTGCTTATACCGCGACCGCGCGGTTTGACGCCGGCACACACGGTTCGCAGAGACGCGCGTATGCGACAACCGCAATAACGTTAAAAGCGTAACGTCATCCCCTCTGCCCCGCCGAGCACGCAGTTAAAACGTGCCCGTCCGAACGGCGCGCGCCGCGGGTACGAGCGTTTAAACATTCACGGCAGCGGCGCTGCCCAATCGGTCGCGCACGGCGGCGTGCGGTTTTCGTACCCGCGGGAAAACGGTTCTACGGGGGCGGCGCGACGAAAATCTCCTTAAAAGACGAGCATTCGAGGACTGACACGGCGGACGAGCGTAAACGACTTCGATAGCGGCGTTCCGATGATTTTCCCGACGGTTTTCCGGCGGAACGAACCGGGGGGGGGGGGGGGGTGGAGGAGGAAACCCGCCGACACGTTGGTCAGCGGCGATCGCCGGTAAATCCGGTAGGTCCGTTGTTAATCGACCGATTTCAACACGAGCAATTTACGTCGAAAATACGTTTACGAATAACCATCGGTCATCGTGAACCGAGCGCGGTTATTTCGTCGGCCGATTATCGCATAGATGATTCCGCGGAACTATGCAAGTAAGCGTACACATGAAGTGACCACTGCACCGACGGAACGATTCCAATACCGACTCGGCACTAATGTAGTCGACCGACGGCCAATGTTTAATGTCGATTAACGAATAATCAGGCGCCTAGTCGGCTGATTTCAATATATTTTATACGTGAGCTGCTTGTGCACATTTTCAGTCAACTAACACATGAATCGGTACGACGGTACCTATAGTAATAGGCGATGCGAACTGACCAACTGGTGGTCGGTAGTAATAAATGGTCTTTCTGCAAAGTTTTGAAAAAGATTTCGGCGATTTTTTCAAATGTAAATTGTAGGCGCGTTTATAAAACCGTGAAACGGTATCATAATTATTTATATTGTTTTTAATGGTCTATTTACAGATGACGATTTAAGATTTCTAAAATAATTAAAACCTAACACGACGTTCGACTATTCTATAATTTCAGTCTTTTGTGAAAGTTTTCACCATTTGATATATGACGATAAAAAGCTGGCGCAGTAAAATATACGAGTAAGTATGTACGTGTAATTGAAGGGGTCGCCTTTTGAACTTGGGATTTCTCAAATGTCCGATATCGTTCAATATTATTGTGATGCAAAAACTAAAAATATTGACGAATGGAAAGTCAACGGTTACATAATAATTTTACTCGAGAATCGTTTGGAACGCCAAACGGTAAATAATAATAGTTCTACAAAAAATAATAAATTTACTACCTTTATGTGGTTTGCGTTTTTGTGCGGAACCTACGCGCGGAGATATTATTATTATGTTTTTTTTTTTTTTTTTTTTTTTTTTTACATTGACCCCAATGATGAAAATATATGTATATACATTATACTTCGGTAAAAGGGGCGGTCGAACGGAGAGGCGAAAACGGGTTATATGTACGACATAATATATCCTTCTTAATGAATAGGATATATTGTATCCTACCCATAACCGTTTTCCTTTCGATATATATATATATAATAATGTGGTGTATTATAATTAATATTTATAGAAAACAAAAAAAATGAAAATGATATAAATTGTTAAAAAAAAAAAAAAAATAGTGTCGCCTTCCACGGACAAATTCGTTTCCCGACACTGATCGGTACACGTACACGGAAAGTGAATTTATTATAACGGGCCAATATATAAGGCAGTCGGGACGTTTAAAAAATAAATTCGTTTGTACTGCAGACATTTTCCTCCTGTAACACGGTTTGTTTTATATATTTTTATCTCGGAATATTTTACCGAAACCGATTAACTCGTGTGTGCACCAAGACGTGAACATACGCATTGAGTAAAGGTATACTGTTATACGAATAGTGTGCGGGAGACGTAAAAAAAATATTGGGGGAAAAAAAAAACCATCAAATAATAATATTAACGCGAGAGAGAGAAACGCTAAATAATGAGAACTTCCTTCCGGTCCGAAAAATTATTATTGGTTATAGCGAAATTACTGCACAGAATTCGTTTAATACCGGCTATGTTAAATTGGCACGGATCATAGCGCAATTTATCTTAGTCATCACGTGCAACAACAATATTCTTACCTTCACCGGAATCGGGCGAGCCCATTGTTCGGTTTAACGTTTTCGGATCGCGAACGCGGTAATTTTGTTTATCGCGAAATCTGTATCTTTCCAATTGTTCAGTGATTACGGTATCGCGGTTTAATGACGACCTTACAATATTGCCGTTAAAATGCTGTTAACTATTGTATACAGTGGCCGCGCCCTTTCGGAATTAGTCGTGAGTTTTTCTTTTCGACCAGCCGCGGATCCATAGCGGAGGTCACATCGAATAATGTTTGGCTCTCGGTGGATTTACGTCTGTTTGTTCGGATGAATACAAGAGTTTCGAATGGAAACGATCACGTTCATTAGACAGTGTTATCATTTCCCAACCGTACAAGGAATCCTCGATGAGACATTCATTGTCGATCGGAAAGTATTTACTTTTTTCACTGTTTCTTTTTTTGGACGACTTATGAAACTAGTAGCGACATTTTACACAGCCGGGCATGTACCGGGTTCTATTTTCGTACCGGGAAATTATTAAACAGGGCCCACTCTAAAACACAAACGATAAACGTTCTCCGAGTACCAAGCTTAATATTAATTATAATTTATACTTGTGACCGGTTAAAAAAAAATAAATAAATTAAGAATGTTGCATGGGAGTTTGTTTTGTTAACGGGGGCGGTGGTCTGCGTGACTTTTTAGCTGCTCACCATCTTAAACTACGGTTCGGCTTATTTAATAAAAATATGAAAACTTGTATAAATCAAGGGCCAATATGAAAAGGGCCCATCGAGAAATTACCGGTGTACGCGCCTGTACATAAACGTTTGTCACTTTTGATTTAGCGGCTTATATTAAAAATCCGATAAATAGATAACGTTTTAGTCGGTGTTGAAGTTTTAAAATTCCGACCGCCCGTTGACGAGATATTCCACTTATAAGTTTGACTAGGGGGAGATTATTGTAGAGTATCATACGGGTGGTGGCGCGACGCGCGGAATTTGAATAATGTTCCGCTACTTAAACGTGAAAGTGGATAATCTCGTTAACGGGTTGGCGGAAATCAACAATTTCAAAGTGAAAATGAATTTCAATTAAAACGACGTCTGTTTATGAAAATTTCAATATAGATTGTGGCCGTTTAAAAATCGAAAATGCAGTAACGGGATCAACCCCCTCCCCCCCCCCCTCCCACCCATCCGAGTAAAAAAAATAAACGCGACGGAAAATAACGGGTAATGCAATATTTTAGAGCTACTCGTTTACATAAGTTGTCTAAAAGAAACAGAGAAATCCGGCGAAAACAAATAGGTGCTTTCCGAGACGACGGCGTAGTGTGTCTTGTCGAGGATCGATCGTCCCACAGTCGGCCAATCCGGGTGGACGAATTCATTTAAAAATATACACCGGGTAACTGTACCGTGCGATTGTTGCCCCCGCGGCACACGCGAATTCAAAAATAAACACACTCTTCGGCGAGCTCGTTTTCCTACATGCGTGCGCTCGACCGCACCGGTCGAACACGCGGCGCGCGTTTGATTTCCGCGGTTCCGGTCGATTAGTCGGCCGTTCCGAGACGTCCGCGCGTCGATGTATCGGACTGCAATTTATTTAAAGAACGGCGTGAGTTTTTTTTTTCTCTTTTTTTTTTTTCCCCGACACGACGAGTTTCGTTTTCGACGGTCCGGCCTCGGGGGTGGGGGAGGGGGCAGGGGGTAGAGGGATCGCGGTAATAGCCGTACGGTGTGCCGCTGTACGCGCACACGACATGGGTTTTCCGATAAGTCCGCAGCGAAACAAAACCGCCAAAGTGCGCGCGGAAAACAAATCCCTCCAGACACGGGGGGTTCGAACAAGCCTCGTCTCTCGTTCTCCATCACGCTCTGTGTCTCTCTCTCTCTATATATATAAATTTCTCTCTCTCCGTCTCTCTCTCTCTCTCTGTTTGTCTTTCTTTGTACATATTATCCACGTGTGTGTTTCTCGAAAAGCGTATATATAATATACGTATATTACACTCGAAAAGAGCTTAGGGACGTTAAATTCCCGTGCTGCTGACGATAATTTCGCGATCCCAACAACAATAACGTACATATATATAATGTATATTGTATACGGTGTACTTACTTACACCGGGGATCGACGGATCGACGACTTAAGACCCGCGAGCGCGCGTCAGAAATGATACGAGTAATATAATACAATAAGAGTAGCAGTCGGGGCACCGGGCGACTGGTGGCGGCGAACATTGTTGTTTGGACACCGTCGTGTTATTTTTAATTCGACATATTTTACTTCGGCGGTAAAAAATATGTAATACAATATGAGTACCTAGGCGAAACAATAATGGCGATAAAATAATATCCGAGTTTGAATTTTTTTTTTTTTTTTCGGTGCCATTTATCTCGGAAAATATTACGATGATTCCACCGCCGCCGCCGCCGCCGTCGTCAATTTTCCTCTAAACATTTCTACGTACCAAAGTCGTCAACACTTTTAATCGAATGCTCGTAAGATAAAAACATTAATATAATCTAAATATTACATCACATAGTTATCGCTACCTCCTAATTTATAAGACGTCATTTTCAAGTTGTTTTTTAAAAACTTAAAAAAAAACTTAATTGTTGATATCCAACCTCGGTTTGGATATACAAAATTTCCAGATTAATTAATTAATCCGATTAATGTTATTTGGCCTGAATATGAAATATATAGGTGTTATGTTTGCAGATGACAATTTCATATTCATACATGTATATACCGCAGGTTAGGAGAGTGAAATATTACGTTTGTGTCATTGAATTATAAGTTGTATTTAAAAATACTAAAGTCTAGCCCGAATATTTTAGGGGGTCATCATAAAATTGAATTATCTTAATGAATACTAAATATTTATTTGGTGAGGACTTCTCTATGTTTTGAAGGAACGTGATCTCCCCAAGCCCCTAACTCTGGGTTTGAGTGACAAACAAAAGTCCATTGAGTGAAGGGTAATCCCAAAGCTATAATACCTTCAAACAAGGCCTAAATAAGATTACAGAAGTTCCGTATCCGATAAATTATTTTTAAACAACTTTTCGAACAGTATACAATATTCTAGCGATTTTCGAGTTATTGATAGGTAAGGCATTTACGAGTTTTTTAAATTTTTATCTGGACTGATGTGGACAAATTGTTTGGTCAAACATAAATACTTGAAATTTAACGCGATGTTCGTTAAAATTACAGTACTTCAAAACACGTACAACCGAATTCCGCTCAGAATCGCATTTCGTAACGATTTATCGTTGCGTATACAGATATGTAAATTAAATAACTGTGTATAAATCCTACCTTCTCAATTTCCCAACCTACAACAGTGGCACGTCCATTAGCAGTATTAGCTCTTTTATTTCTCCCGTTTCATAATATATACATACAAATAATACCGAGCTATTTTATTATTTTACAAAAGCGTTCCCGTCTAGAATAATAATTCAATACCTAATGATAACAATAACTGTGATCGTGCGCTAAAAGATTTTAAAATCGCGTTCGAAATTATGTTCTCTGTAATAAAAAAAAAATCCGCATCGGTATAGAAATATTATGTATTCATGAAAAAAAAAAAATAATAATAAATAAATAAATAAAAATAAAAATGCTTTATCGAAAAAATTCACCTGTCCTGGAGCCGAGCGTAACGTAATAAATTATAATATATTAAAATCGTTTTTTAATCGTTCGGATACCAACCTATATACCGTATGTAAATAAAGCGAAGATAATAATAATAATAGTATAATATTGAAAAATAAAAAATTACAAAATAACGGTTATAAATTACGTTCGATGATTTACATCCCGTTGTAACCTAGTACATAATACTGTACCCTGGAGGTAAATAGAACATCATTTTTGATCGAACTGATTTAACCCCGTGTCCTGTACGTTTTTCGCTCTACGTAATGGTATTTAGGGCACCACATCTAGTTATCATAATCAGGGCTCGGGACTTTATGCACTTAAAAATCATAAAAAAAGCGATCAAAAACGTCAAAAAAACATTGAACAAGCAATTAAAAAAAAAAAAAAAATGGTAATATGTTTTTCGTAAAAAATACGATTTTCGAACACTACAACAATGATTAACACGAGTTTGTAAACAAAATGTGCAAGTATTATAAACAAAACATTTTGTGTTTGTTAATCGTTTGTGCAGTGTTAAAAAATTGATTTTAATGGTTAGAGGCGTTATGCAATAGGAAGGTGTGAATTCGCAACCCATCTGAGTCCTCTGTGATTTTTGCTTTTAAAAATATTTTTTCAGGGCTCTTTTTATGCTTTTAAGCTCCTTGCTGTGGACTTGAAATGCATAAAATTCCAAGAGCTGATCATAAGTAATTGGAAATAATTGAAAATTGATGAAAAATAAATCCATACGGTTGTGCCCAAGGACATACAACACTGTGTCCACAAAATGTAGGTTATTTTTAAAAAATTTTTTAAATCTAATATTAAAATTAGGTAGAGTTTCTATCCGGTAAAGAATACCTATATAATAATGATATGTTAAATACTGGTACAGCAATTCCTATATGACTTGAAGGAAAAGAAAATGTGTAGATAAAATTATCGAAAATGTTATCTCCTGTAAAATTATTATTTTATGACACGGTATATTATTATATTTGTTGTTATTATTATTATTAGGTATACGTACAATTTGTTCCGTCACTTCTAATATTTTAATTTTTTAGCCGCTTTTTGCTTTTCGCCTCGACCTGGCAAAAGGTTAGCTGGTTATAAATTAGACGCAAAAATCAATAATAACAATATAATATTGTTGCGTATAATATTATCGCTGCTTCGAAATTTGAACGCGACAATAACACGTAGGTCTTACTATAGATTGATCAGTGATCACCCTGTTTATAGTATACATAGTATAATTTTGGAAAAAACCTATTCCGAACGGAACTCTGTCCGCTACACTCAGAATCGCACGCCGTGTGTATTTCAAACGCTCGCGTCGTATTGACGCGGGTTGTTTGCACGGATTTTCAAAAAAAAAAAGACATTTTTTATTTTTTTTTTAATTTCCGAAAAATTCGAAAGAAAAATAAAACTGGTACATATGTTATACTCTGCATAATACTACGTCTCTCAGTAGACAATAGGTACTCGAAAAGTTTCGTGAATATTTACTGCAAAAAGTTATTTACCGAAAAGGAACGTTGTAGTATAACACTATTATTATATACGTATATGCCTCCCTTTCTCTCTGCAGTCTCCGTCCAAAGGGTAGAGCTGAATGTATTTAAATACATTTATATTC